CCTGCCCTGCCCCTGCCCTGCTGCCCCTACCCCTGCCCTGCCCCTGCCCTGCTGCTCCTGCCCTGCTGCCCCTGCCTCAGGGATCAGGCCCTAATGGCCTCTGTCCTGCCAGCCATGAGTCTGCCGGCCCATCTTCAAAGCGCGTCCTCGTCCTGGCCGGGTCCAAGGCTCCCTCCAGGGCTTCCTCCTGCTCACAGCTTCCCCTCTTGATGGGAGTCAGATGGTATGAAGGTCGGCTACACCACGGTCCTCCCAGCCGGCCTTGGTGGCTCGCCTCCTTCCCTCTGCTCCCTGGCCCACCAAGCCTCCTGCCTGGCCCTTGCCACCGGCACAGGTGCTGCGGTCACCAGGAGGGCCTGAGGTCTGGGATGTCACTTGAATCGTGACTTAGTCCCACCTCCCTCATCTGTGGAACCAGGATTGGCAGGCTGACTTCAGAGCTGCTGGTTTATGGGGGGCCTGGAGAGGGCCTGGAGAGGGCCCAGAGCTGGACTTGGCAGGAGACACTCCCTCTGTCACCCCCTGAGCCAGATGCTGCTTGGGTCATGCACAGAGCTGAACATCTGGGCATTGATGATGACAACCGCAGACACCCGCTCTGCTGGGCCAGCCTGAGCCAGGAGCACCAGGGACAGGAGGGTGCTCTCTGCCAGCGGGCGCTGTCTGTGACCGTCTAACTGCAAAGTCACTGGAGGGCCAGTGGGCTGGGGATGCACGCTGTCAGACGCCTGGGCCGGCGCTGCTCAGGGCCTGGGGTTGGCAAGGCTGAGCCCACCCGGTACAGAGAGCACCAGGCCCCCGCTGCAGGATGCGAAAGGAGGCTTCCCGGGTTGGGACGTGGCAGGCCCTGCAGGCCGGGGACTGCCCCAACAGCGAGCACGGCCACCAGTCCCACTGGACAGCAGTGCTTGCCCGGCACCCTGCAGCTGGAGGCTGGTGACTCCGGAGCAGGGGTGACTGCCTGACTCACCAGGCAGCGCTGGGAGTGGCTCCAGCCCTCAGGGAAGGAGCCGGGTCCTGGGCTCTGCTCCTGCTGAGGTCTGGTTGCCGGGCCTCCCCAGGACCGCCAGCAGCACACCTGTGGCCAAGCAGGGGTTGTCATTGGTGCGCCTGACACACCTGGGCGCCTCAGGTAAGGGTGGCAGAAAGGCCTGGCTCAGGGGTGGCTGGGTGGCTCAGGAGGCAGTGGATCAGGACGCCCTMGGGGAACAGGCAGTGCCAAGGTCCTCTGGGAGGAGGGGCGGCTCCAGGGTGCCCGATGTGGGGAGGACGGATAGCAGCCTCCCTGCTCCTGGCCAGGGCGGGGTCTAGCYCGTCTAGGTTTGGACAGTGACCTTATCTGCTCTATGCTCATGCTTGACTGTCACACGACAGTGGCCTTGTCTGAGGCAGGTGCTCGGTACACTGATGGGTAGGGGACGGCCCATGCCCAGGGGGGACCTGTGGACACTCTTCTCTTCCTCAAACTTGGAAGGGGCTCTGGCCTGACCTTCCCATATCCACTCTGAAATGGGTGCCGGCAGGGGTGTCCTCAGGAGCACTGTCCGGGCAGGTCCCCAGGGGGGGACAAGTCCCTGGCCTGTGGAGCTGGCTCTCTGACAGCTTCTAGAGGGGCTGCTGCAGGACCCAGGGCTCTGAGGCCAGGAGTGGACCCCTGCAGGGGACCCTCAGAGCATGTGGATGCCCTCCCTTCCTCCCCTGGTCCCCTGCTGCCCTGTTGGGCCACTGCCCGCTGTAGGGGCTGCCGTCTGGTCTCTCCTGAGCGCCGCCCTTTCTGCCTGGCGCCCAGCATGAGTTGAAAGGACCCTGGAGTCCAAGGGGACATTTGAGGACTTTGATGTTGAAAACCCGATGTTGCCTCATCAGGACATGTGGTGGTGCAGAGGGGGGTGCGCGTCTGGGAGCGTGTGTGCAGGTGGCTTCCCTCCGCCCTCTCCCTCTACTGCTCCATGCCCACCGGGGCCATCCTGGGTCGCAGTGGGAGAGCGCCTGGAGGGATCTCCCTCTCCCATGCTCTGAGGCGTGGCCACACCTCTCAGACGTCACTGTTCCTAGCTGCAGGGGGACCTCGGTCTGTGGCGAGTACTGGACCCTCCCCAGGCCGGCCGTGTGAGGGCACCGTCCTGGAGAGGACGCCTCCTCTGGGCCGACGCTTCCTGGTCCTGCCTAGGCGGCCCCCAGTGTGGCCTCCGCCCGCTTCACTGCAAAGTGCACTTAGCAAACGTCAATGGGGCTTTCAGGTGTCTGTCCCTCTGTCCCCGTCCCTCTCCCGTCCCTCTCCCGTCGTTCCTGCCCCTCTGCTCCCTCACCCTCCATCTCCAACCACGCAGGAGGAGAGTGAGGAGGAGGCACGAGTGTMCAGGGGAGGCTGCCCTTAAACCCTCAGAGAACCACAGTCCTCAGCCACCAGGGACAGCAGCCAACCACCAGAGTGCCCCACAGGTGGGAGAGCCTCAGTGTCCCAGCAGCCAGAGGCCCTGGCAAGGTCCTGTAGGTGTGCCAGTCCAGCCAGGACCTCATGGCAGCCTCCGCAGCCTCTGTCCAGCTGGCAGGTTGGCGGAGGCTCTGGCCTCCCAGCAGTGGGGGCAGGGGTGCCCCCGGGTGGAAACACGGGTGGCATCACGTCAAAGGCCAATGCCACCTGCAAACTCCCACCTCAGGACTGCCCCCTGCTCCCCTCACAGGTCCTCGGACACATCGTCCCTGGGGCCACGACTGTAGGCCTGTGTATGTGCAAACTTCAACATCGAAAAACATCCTCAGAGTAAGGCAGAAGCTGATCAGATCTGTTTAATCTTTGTTAAAAGCATCACAAATTATTCGTTGGTCTTTTTAAAGGAAAAATAAGAAAGAAGGCATCCCCTGTTATGTGCACACACTGTGTGGGTATGGGGCCTGCTCAGACAGCACCAGACACCAGCGCTGTCATGCCAACTCCAGGTGCCCCCCTGTGCACCTGCACGCCAGGCGCGGAGCTCAGTAGACGGCCAGGTAAACGCACAGACCCCCGTGCTGATCCCCCAGTTGCGGAGATGGGAACACACGGGGACATGGGATGCCACCATCCTCCCAGGTTCTTGGGTCCACACACCCAAGAAGATCTTAATACCAATAATAATATAAAATAGGAAAAACACAATTACCAAGGGGGATCCCCACCCAACAGCTGAGAGAATTAAACTGAGTGGTCGAGGAGGGTCGGAGGTGTGCAGCTGGCCACCCGCAGGCCCTGGTGAGCCAGGGAGGGTGTTTCCAGGGATCCCGAGCTGACCTGGGATCTGGGCCTGGGTGGGCTGAGTGTGAGCATGGCTGTGTCCAACACGCATGGCCGGTGGACACAGATGTGCTGGGTGGGGGCCGCAGCTCACAGGTCTCCACATAGGAGTGCAGACTGCAGGCTGGGGGTGGGCACTGGCTAAGGTCTCAGGTCAGTGGGCAGGCAGGGTGGGGGCAGGCTGGGCACAGCTGGGACACCTCCACACCCAGGCCCGTCCCTGCATGGCTGTCTTGGTGACTGTGATCCCCGAGTCCCATCTGTGACAGGAGCACCCAGATGCCAGGGCATCCACCCAGCAAAGACCAGGTGCCCGGAGGCTGAAGACCTCTCCCTGGGCCTCCCTGGTCACGGGCCACTCCTAGGGAAGACAGGCGGACACCCCAGGCTCCGGCAGGGTGCAGAGGACACTGCTGCCTTGCTACAGGCCCTGGTGTGGCCACCAGAGAGCCTGGCCTGGGCAGGGAGGGGAGGGGAGGAGGAGGACAGTGACTTCCCAATTCAAGGCAAAAGGTGAAGTGCCCGCTGTCTTCTGGAGGCTTGTGCCAGAGCCCCGACTCCAGGCGGCTGCGTCCTGTGTGCTGCCGAGGGCTGGCTCCGGGGCCACCCCGCTCCATCTTGTCCTGACCCTGGGAAAGCCACCCATTTCGGGCCCATCGCCCACCTTCACCTGGGGGGGGCCACACTTCCAGTGGCCCCTCAGATCTGCCCTACGCCTCCTGGTTGGCTCTGCAGGAGCCCCCCAAGTTGTAAGGGGCACAGAAGGCTGTTCTGGCTGTGGGGGGCCCGCCCCTCCCAAGTCCCTGGAGCTGCGGGGCAGAGCTGCGTGAGGCCGGGCAGCCGGTGAGGAGCTGTAGGCTGGGGTCCCTGTGTCCCCACCCCAGGCCGCTAGGGAAAACTGGCCCCTCTGGGCCCAGAGGAGCCCTGGGTTCTAGAAAAGGGGTTCCAAGAACGAAGCTCTGACGGCAACCAGATGCCCACCACTGGCCACGAGAGCAGAAGTTCAACCAAAGCCCCGGAGCAGGCGCCACCGAGAGGGAAGCTACGTCATCTGCAGCTTAAAAAGAGGACGATGGCAGGAAGGCCTGGAGGTGGTGCTGGGAGCCCTGGCCACAGGGTCCAGGACTCCGGGGCTTCTGCAGGGACAGGAGCTGCAGTGCAGCGTCTGCGTGGGTCTTGGGTCTCGGAGCAGGGCCCACCCGGTGGGCTCGCTCCCGGACTGGCTCTGGACAGGCCAGCGGCAGCCAGGAGAAGCCAGGCCTTGGCTGGGGCGACAGGTTGGAGCGGCCTGGTCATGTGCAGGGGCCAGGGCCAGAGACACCCCAGAGTCAGGGGTGGGGACATCGGTGGCTCTGTGGGCCTGTGTCCAGAAGGGCCAGGAATCAGCTGGGCTGGCACCCCATGGGCCTGGTGGGCTGGGATTGGGCAGAGGGAGCAGTGTCTGTCCCATGTGGGGATGGTGGAGGAGGTGGCCTCCCGCAGGTCTCTGAGGGGACATGGTTCCAGCTGCACTCGTGGCTGTGCCCTCCAGGGAATGACCAGCGGAGGAGAGTGTCCCGGCCAGACCCCGCCACATCAGCTCACCAGGTAGCTGTGCATCTCCCTGGAGTTGATGCTCAGGACCACGCCCGAGTGGTTGCCTGGGGAACACAGGAGAGGCCACCGTGAGCGCAGGCCATGGGCTGGGGAAAGGGAGAAGYAGGCCGCGGGGGTGCCAGTGGGGTCCTGGGCAGCACGTGAGCTGGCATGCAGTGGGGACCCCAGGTGCCTTCAGCCAGTGCCAGTCTCAGGTGTTGGCTCGCCACGCTGCTGGGGGAGTGAGGAGGGGGTGTGCCTGGCACTGTTACAAGCAGTGGGCACCCCAGGGTTGTGAGGTGAGGCTGTGCCCACTGACCTGCACGGGGGCCACCCCTGGCATCAGCAGCAAGGGGGTGCAGGAGGGGCTGAGGCTCCGCCCCCTCCTGGCAGTGGGAGCTGCAGCGCACAGAGTGGCGAGGCGGGGGGTGGGGGGACGGGGCGAGAGCAGAGAGTGGGGTCAGAGGCTGGTCGTCAGGTGGTCCTGGGGGCCGTGCTAGGACACCAACGGACGGGGACCCAGAGCTACTGCTGGCAGTGTATCTGCCCGCCCCAACTCATGAGACTCCCTGCACTGCCCGCCTGGGCCCATGTGCCTGACTGTCCATGAGAGACCGCAGCAAGGGTCTCCACCCCCTGGGCCTGGTCTTGCTATTTGTAAAATCATGGTGCCCCTGGCACCCTCTGGGAAGGACCCTGGTTGGGGACGCCTGGTGCACGCCAAGGGTCTGGTTCAAATGATTATCATGTTTGGTTATTTTCTAGGGGCTTGAAAGCAGGCAGCTGTCAGAGGAAGGAGCCAGGCTCAGGACTCAGGTCCACCTTCCTGAGACCCCGTCACAAGGGGCCGAGACCCTGCACGAGAGCAGGACCAGCTGGCAGGTTGGCGGAGCGCTGGCCTCCCAGCCGTGAGGGTGTGTGGAACCAGTCATGGGGACAGGTGGGGCCAGCAGGAGCCCAAGACCACCTCTGCCCGGGGCAGAGGACAGGCCTGTGGAGAGTCCTGGGGCCTGCGGAAGGCACTGTCCAGAGCCGGACGCTGTCTCCCATCACCTCTAGTTGGGCAGTGACCTGGGAAGGTTGGTCTCAGCTTTCCATCTGAGGAACAGGACACCGGCATCTGCCCAGGGCTCAGCTATGTCCTGATGGGACCTGGCACCAAGTGGGCACCCAGAGGGGACCCAGGCATCTCGCCCTGATGAGCAGCCCTGGGCCGAAGGACTTGGGAGATGATGGGGATCCCAGATGGGGGGGCAGACTCACCCCTCGAGGAGCTAGAGGGAGAGCCTGGGCCTGGGGGGGACCYGGGGGCAGCCCCTGTGGGTCGTGTGCCCCTGGGCCAGCAGCGTCACCTTCCCGAGCCTCCCTCTAAGTTAAAACTGAGGCCGTGGTTTCTCACTGGCATGGTTCTGAGGGCGGGGGGCACTCAGTTCACAGCCCGTCCCCTGGTCGGGGGGTAAACCTGAATGTAGCCGTGACCACGGCTGCAGTGGGACTTTCCTGGACACTCTGGCAGGAGCCTTGAAGCCACGGGGTGGCAGGCTGCCAGCCRCCTTGGAGGAGGCACAGAGGGGTTGTGTGGTGGGAACAGGAAGGGTGGGGCATGATGAGCTTGGGGTCCACCTAGACCCCAACTCCAGCTCTGTCCCCCATGAGTGGCGACCTGGGCCAGTGCAGTTCATCTCTGTCCCCCAGGCTCACTCAGAGCCAGCCTGGCTCCTGAAGGGGCCCAGAGCAGCCTGGTCCTGGCCGCGGGGCGCCTGCCTCAGCTCTGCCTGCTCAGGCTCCAAACCTCCAGGAAGACTCGGAGGCCCTGGGGCCTCGGCTGCCCCACCCGTGGAGAGGCAGAGCTGCCAGGAGCTTGCCTTGCCAAAGGGTGCCATGGTCCCCACAGTGCAGCCCTGCCGCTCCCCTAGCGGGGGCACCCGCATCCCCACCCCTGAGTAGGGAGAGTTCTGGGGCCTCACCTGACCTCCAGACTGCTCCCTGCCTCCCCCTGAGGCCCCAGGGTCTGCCTTTGCTGACCGCAGCACCAGAGTGGGGCCCGAGGCGCCGCGGCCTCGCCTTAGGGTGGGGTCTGGCGGTGTAGAGACCACGGGGAGCCGTGGCACAGCCCTGCGTCCAGGCCCGGGCCCTGCGTCCAGGCGCCCCATGTTTTGAGGCTTATCGTGGAGGCCGGCCTCTTGTCCTCCCTGCCTCTGCTACCAGGCCTGGCGCCCTCAGCTTCCAGCAGCTTCTCATGTCATCCTGGGGCAGCGCTGGGAGGCCCCACCGTCCACGTGCCAGGGAGATGATGGCCCAGGGTGACCCACTGGCAGGGTCTGCCTGGCCCCACGTCCTGTGTGCTTTGGGCCAAGAGGCCGGGAAGGCACCTAAGGAGGGGTGGGCCTCAGGGCAGGCGCCAACTGGGAGCGGGGTCCTGGGGAGGGGGCTCACCCTGGGTGGCGCCCTGCACGTCCTCGCTGTGGCTCACGGGGCTGGTCATCTCCTGCTCCTTCTCGTTGTGCATCTGGGCGTACACGGTCCTGCCCGGGCGTTTCCTGCTGGGCAGAGGTGGCTGCTCAGCTGGGCCCAGCCTCAGCTGCCAGGACCCGGCCCCTCGGGAGCAGGTGCAGACAGCCCCGAGGGCTCCGCTCAGCACCCGGAAGCCCGGCTCCCTGTCCTGCAGGGCCGGTCAGAGGTCTCAGGGAGACACGGCCGAGTGACACAAGATGGTGGCGCAGGGCCTGGGCCCCACCCTTCCTTCCTCCTTTTCTTCCTCCTTTTCTTCCTCCTTTTCTTCCTCCTGCTCCCGAGTCCCCTTTACAGTGAGGAAACCAAGGCCCAGACGGGAGGCACTGGCCTGAGCCCCGGAGGGCAGTGGCAGGGCAGGGTGGTGGCCCCGGTCTGTGGCACTGACCCACGGTCCCCTACCCCCTATGGAGCCACCTGCAGTGAACGGGTCCTCGGCTGCTCAGAAGCAGAGACCTTAGCACCCACCAAGGRGCCCTTCAGAGCGCCCCAGGGGCCCGCAGCCCTGCCTCAGCCTCCCGGGTGTCCCGGAGCCGGCCGCTCTGGAGCCCCCTCCCTGTGGAGCACAGGGCCAGAGGGGCAGCCCGGAGGAGGACCCCTGGGCAGGGAGTCGGCCCTCCTCCTGCAGACCCCGCCCGGGGCACGTGCCCTCCCTCGGGTGGGTGGAGGTGGAGGGCGCCCGTGGCCCTGTGGGAGGAGGGCCTGCATGGGAGAGGCTCTTGGGGTGAGTGGTGGCCCTCTCCCCAGGGCCCACGGGTGACAGATCCAGGAGGGGCGCTGGGCAGGTGTCAGGGCAGGCTCACACCACCTCCCGCCATGGCCCTCTGGGGGCCACCGCTCCAGGGGTCTCCCCAGGTCTTCTGGGCAGCAAGGACAGGGCCCAGCGGCCGAGGGCTCCTGGCGGCTTGCCTTTTAAACTTGTAGAGGATGAAGGCTCCCACTGCGAACAGCCCTGTGACCGAGAGGACCACCACAGCCCAGTAGCCGCCACCGCCGCCCAGGCTCTGAGAATCTGTAAGCAAGGCACCAGGAGGGGACAGCTGAGGGCCAGCCCTGGCAGGGCCGGACCCAGGAGGAGGGCATTTCACTGTGCCTGGCTGATTCTCCCAGTGTGGCTAAGGGGCGGCGGGTCCCAAGGGACCAAGGAACACACACTCTGTGGCCTTGGAAGGACCAGTCACTCCCTTCCCAGCCCGACTCCTGCTGTACACCGTGGCCTGGACCCGCTGTTAGCTGGGCCCTCCTCAGGGGACACCACTGTCTCCAGGCTGGTGTGGGCAAGGGTGGGCTTCCTAACGGTGTGGTGTCCAMCGAGGGGAAACTCAGCTACTGCACAGATTCCTGCTCCACGGAGGGGCACACGGGGGTGACCCGTGTGAGGGATGGAGCTGAGGTCCTCGAGACCCTGGGCAGGGGTGTGGACCCAGGCAAGGGCCCYGGCTGCACTGGTTGGGACAGACGGGCTCCTCAGAGCTGGACGCCAGCCGGTGGGAGTGTGTGGGCAGAGGAGGGCCCTGCCCGGGTCCCAGAGTGATGCCCACTGGGGGCCGCGCTGGGCTCTCACCTGAGCTGGCGTCCCTCAGGCCCACCAGGATGCGGAGGCCTCCCCGCAGGAGGAAGCTGATGTGGTGTGCGCCCAGCGCCTGCTGGATGGCCGAGAGCCTCTGAAAGCAGAGGGGCAGGAGGGTCCTCCGGGGCCTGGGGCAGGCAGGGCAGTCAGCCCGTGGGTCCAGGCCGACTTCCTGCAGCCGTGGCCGGGGAGGGCCCCACCTCCCGAGCCCCAGCGTCCTCCTCTGTGACATGGGAGTGGCATCCCGCAGCTGACTTCCAGGGTCACCACTGACGGGACACACGTGTGGCACACTCGTCCCTGCCTCTGCAGGGACGCACAGGACRCAGGGCCACCGAGGGTGTTCCAGGGGCTGGGTGCTGCGGGAGCCCCGGCCTCCCGCGGTGGCGGTCAGGGAAGGCTCCCCAGAGGGGGGAGGCGGAGAAGAGGACAAGGCGGATGGGACCCGGGACTCAGGCAGGGGAGTGGGCCCACCCGATGGGACCCCGCGAGGYGTTTCTGGGATGTGGGGTGAGGTGGGGTGTCGGGGGCTGGAGAGGGTCTCGGCCAGGCAGCAGCCAGCCTGTCCATCTGGGATGGCGCACACAGGGTGCTGGCGCACAGTAGGGCTCCTCAGCTCCTCTCACTCCTCGCTGTACCCTGACCGCCCATCAGCGCTGCCCAGGGTCCACCATTCCACGTTCCCGGGTCCCGGTGGCTCTGGGCTCAGGAAGGTCCTCCCCAAGCCCTTGGAGCYGTGACGGAGCACAGCCTGGGACCCCCAGTGTCCCAGCTCCCGGCTTTGGGGAAGAAAGGGCTTTGTCCCCCCCTGAGCACCAAGTCCCAGTGGGTGACTCTTCCTGAAGCCCCTCAGGGGCCTGGGACACCCCCGCCCACTCCCACAGGTGGTGGCCTGTGGCTCTACCCTGCTCTCTGCCATTCGGTCACCTGCTGGCCCTCACAGCTCCTCAGGGCTCTCCCTGYGAGGTGGTGCAAACGGCCTGGGGGATCCTCCCACCAGGCCCCAGGCACCGAGGCTGGTGTCCCTCAGGCCCACCCCTGGAGGACATCCTGAGGGCCAGGTCAGTGCAGCCTGGACATGCACATGAGGTTCCCTGAGGAACCCAAGGCCAGCTCCCTGCTCAGGGCGAATGAGAGGTCCTGACCCTAGGGTGGGGACGGATGCTCCTGGGCAGTGGGACAGCTGTCCTCCATGCCGCCCCACACCCCCTTCCCCTCTGGGGTGCGTGATGCAGGTAAGGGGGACGTCACCATGGCCTGGATTGGCACGTCCCTGGTGGCTAGGGGTGGCGAGTGTTTCTCCATGTGCCTTTGGCCACTCGAGTGTCCTGCTGAAAACTGTCCATCCAGGTGTGGCCCCTCTCATTGGCCTATTTTCTTGCTCTTGAGCGAGGTCCTGCGTGTCTGGGACCCAGCCGCTGTCGGACGGTGAGGGTGAGGACCCCATCCTCTGGCCTCTCACTGCCCACTGCCTTCCCTGCCCTGCAGAGGCTCCCGGCCTCATGTCCCCCTCTGCCTCTCTGGGATCCATGGCTGTGTGAGGCCCACCCTGACCGTTGCTTGCACCGYGTGGAGTCTGCGCTGTCCTGGGTCTCCCGTGAGTCTTCCGTCCACTTGGGGTTGACATTTGCATGTKTTGTGAGCAGGTCCGACTTCACCCCCTGCAGGTGGACGCAGTGTCCCCAGCACCATTTACTGCAGAGACTGCCCTTCCCCATGAGCAGTCTCAGCCCCTGTCAGCCAGCTCTGCTGCTGTGACCAAAATGCCCGGCAGGAGCCATTAGAGGGGAGGCAGGGCATGTGAGCTCATGGTCCCCAGGTGCAGCCACCGTCGGCTGTGCAGCCACTCTGGTCCCAAGTGGGGCAGCGCCTCCTGGTGCAGGGCCCAGTGCAGGGCCAGAAGCAGAGAGAGAG